CCCCCGGTCCCCCACTTCTGCTTCTCCCAGGCTTCACCATGCAGAGCGCTGAGCGTGGGAATCGTGGGAATCGGGAGCCAGGAGCCCCAGCCCCTCACCCGTCCTGCACCTTAGTGCTGATCCTGCCCTCGCCCGGGGCAGCAGAGCCCCTGGAGGAGAGCCCTGACACCTTCTTAGTGGTGTGATGGGCCTCTCCCTCCAGGCCTGTTATTTCCTGAGCGGCTGCGTTTCAGCTGCAGGGCAAAGCTATCATCCTGGGCTACTCTGGGACCCATTTAAACAATCATTTTCCCAAATGCCCTCTCTTGATAGAGTTCCCACCCGTCAGAGAACAGAAATCCATCTCAATCAATTCCACCGGTTCTAAGCCCTCGGAGGCTCCCACACCACAGCTCCCAACCGCTCTTCAAGCCTGGCTGGGCAACTTGATCCCTACTTTGGAAGCTCAACAAACTGTCTAAGCTCTGTGTTTGTTTACAAACAGAAAGCTATGCTGTCCAGTGACCAAATGTGGGCTAATGGCAGTTTCCTCTAAATATAACATTTGGAGTGGGGGGAAACCAGCCACCTCTCCTCCCACAACCCCTGTAGCTCTGGTGCTGACCTTTTTTGTGGTCCTGGCTCTGAGCTATTGCCCAGGAAAACCTGCTGAGGAATGAATAATTGAAAAGAAAAGATTTTTTTCAGTTGCATTTTCTGTGGGAAATATCTTTTGCTTTTAGTTTTCTTATTGCAAGGGCTCTCACAGTACTGCACGAACGCCAGCTAGACCTTCAACTTTCAGGTTTGCTCTGCTATTTGACTAACGGAAAACTAAAAAGCAGATGAAGATTTAAGTCACTTCCCAGCTCCACATGGTGGGCTGGGAGCCAGCCTGTATGTTAACCCAGAACCTTCTGTCTGTCTCCTTAGGTGATTTTAAACAGTGGCTTGGCAATGGTTGGCCAGTGGAGTGGCGGGGAAGAGGGGCCACTTTATCCCAATGCCAGGACTTTGCCCCCGTCAGTTTTTGGAAAGCACAGACAGAGGGGTTAGAGTGTAAGGGGCCTGTGCGTGTTCTCTGCAACCACTGGCCACCTTGGCCAGTGGCCTCTGAAGTCCCCCAACGCTAGTTCCGTTCTCTGTGGGTTTTGGCCATAAGTACTGCATGCACTCTCCCTTTCCCACTGACTGCAAAAATTTAAGTGCATTTGAAAATGCTTCAGTTTGATTTCTTACCCCCCCCCAATTGAATGAAGCTCACAGAAGGATGTGGAATTTGAAGCCCTGTCCTGTTCCCTTATTTCCTGGCCGCTTGCAGGAAAAACACTGTAGCCAAGCCACATGTACGTAATGCTGTCCCTTTGATGGCTCCCTCCCCCCTTGGGATAAAGTGGGATCCTTTCTGTGGCTCAAGAGGCTCTGAAGACCCCAGACCCCAGTGCAATTCTGCTTT